TGATGAATGAGTGATGAATGTGATGAATGTGTGATGAATGAGTGATGAATGTGTGATGTATGAGTGATGAATGTGTGATGAATGCGCGATGACGTAAAGACGGGGACAGAATTTATACACGAAGTCAACAATCTACCGTAGGCCGCGCGCGTATCGCGTAATAACCGCAAATTTGGCCTCAGATTTCAACCCTGTATTTGCTCTGCGGTTTATAAGTGCGCCATACCGTGAGAGGAAATATTTGTTCATCGATCGTTGCTGAGTCTTGTCACTCGAGGGGGCGATAATGGGTGAATCTAACGTTCAATAAATAAATGCATAAATCGTGTACACTTCCTCCCACGAAAATCTATACCAGATGACTTCTCGATCTCACTCTATTACCACGAGTGCAATTTCCCCCTGTATCTCTTTAATTCATTAATTAATGTAATTAAGGACAGCTGTGATACCTTATTAGCTATCATCTCGGCCAGGTCGGCACAGTATCCCTGGTAACGCTCGTTGCCTTCTAGTCCCTCTATCGCGTTTCCGTTGTCGTCCTTCTTCAACATCAGATACGGATCCTCCTGCAAACGTATACGCACGATGTCAGGATGCAAAAACTACGGCGGGCCGTAGTTCAGGTTACGGACGCTGATGAAACTTCGGTTATAGTTATATTCATAATTTTAGTCATAGATAAAGTGTGCGAATAATTAGTTGCAGTTTAGGCGGGATTGGTAATAGCAGTAAATGTATAATGGGTATAATTTACTTAGTCAGCTTAATTAGTCAACTTAATTAGTCAGAGTAAAATCAAGGTTGTGCGCCGGTGTGGAATTAGTATTTCGTTAGAGTTACTGTTGAGCTGAAGCTGATTATAGTTTCAGTTGCATAGAGTTAGAACGAAGAATGAAAGAAGAACGAACGAAATAGACCCGCGTCCGCTGTAGTATCCTCATGTAGTAGTTAATTGCTAAAAAAAAACTTACTAAAAACAAGCTGAAGTATAGCTAACGTCTTACTAGAATACTGGTGATGTATTTCGTTTTGTTCTCAAAAACGTAATTGTCCTTGTCCCTGTAAATGTTCGGCCTTAGATTGCGAAAACCCATCCTTGAGGTCCATTCGCCAATCTACAAAATCAATCAATCAAACATTCGTCATATTGATTCACTATAAAAATTGCTTAATAAACTATATGATATTCGAATGTCGATTAGGTTCTACCAAATTCGTTCGATCAAATGAATATAACAACAACTATAATACACTATATAAAACTATATAACAATTAGATATAATTATTGAATAAAATAACACGCAAGCCCGCACACGCTCGCACGGAACGCACGCACGCACATAATATATTGTATAGTGTATGAAATGAATACACACCCAAGCCTTTTCTCTGTTCAGCGTAAACTCCCACACATGTATCGTGTAGTTAATCCTTCTCCCTCGCTCATCGAACGCTATAGTTCCCGTTAGACCATCGTGTATGACCACCTAGACAGCGAAAGATATATCGTCGTTTCGTAAAGTATGCATATGAAGAGGCTTGGTCCCTTCTTACATCGTCTCTGCATAGCCTCTCTCCTTATATCATCTCTTCTTGTTATATTTTCTTAGCACCGACTTATTTTGACGACAGGGAATTATTTTATGTGTATAAACATCTCCCCGGGAGATCATCAGGGATTTTAGTGAGATTGGGGAAGTTATTAGATATTATTACGCGTTAACCCCAACCCCAATCCAGCATGCGCAGCAACTTTGCTGTCAACCGTAAAAGAACTCTGTGCCGCATGCTTAGAAGAAAAAAGAATGATCTTCATCTATTCGTTTTTTAGTTACGAATCCTCAAAATATATCCAACCAACAAATGCCGCTGTTGCCCCAAAACATCCACAAGTGATGAAGAGATTGATTATTCGTCATTCACGTGATTTCGCACGCAATATTTGTTCATCACAGGGGTGGAATTAATATTTCGGCGATCTCGTACACAATATTTGTTCACCAAGGGGAAATGATAATTTCGGCGATCTTGCACGCAATGTTTCATCACCAAGGGGGACCCATTACTAACGCGATCGTTCGCGCAACTGCTTCACTCGCTCATCGTCGCTCGCACCTGTTTGATGTAATCCAGTATGACCTCGCCGCGCTCCCACGGCACCACCTCGTTCATGTCGCAGTCGCCGATGCCGCGGGAGCCGTTGTTGTAGACCTCTCCGCGCCGGAAGTTGCTCTTCAGCGCGTTCGGGTATTCGGTGAGCATGCGCGTGAACGCTTTGTTGATGACTCGTACGCTGTCGTAGATCAGAGCAGCGTCGTACTGCGGAGCGTGAGTGAAGACGGGTACGTACACGCGGGATGTCAAGAGCTAATAATAATACCTAGTAATAATAATATCTAATAATACCTAAATACCTAACAATATCTAAGAATACCTAATATAATATCTAATAATAATACCTAATAATAATCCTACGCTTAGTTAAGCTGTTTGGACCGGCATCATACCGGTCCCTTTTTGTGAAAAAATCACCTAAGTAATTTTTCCACGATGAATACGATTTAAAAAATAGATCGCGGCGCGATCCTTCGCCCGAGCCTTACCATCAACGTGCGCTGTTTGGCGGCAGGTATTCCCAGAGTGCGGCTCACCATGCCGCCCCAGTCTCCGCCATTGTAGAAGTCTCGCAGCGCTCGTCCAGACCTCTCCAGTATGCGCAGACCCGTCACGTTGGCACCGTCGTGACCAAACGTTGACATGTTCAGCTGTTCGGACGCCTGCGTAGTGAGATCAGATGGTTGTAAAGTGTGTGTGTGTGTGTGTGTGTGTGTGTGTGTGTGTGTGTGTGTGTGTGTGTGTGGGTGTGTGTGTGTGTGAACGTTTTCATGCGAATTTACACAAATCTTTCTTTCTCCCTTCTTCTATTTCTTTCTCCCTTCTTCTATTTTGCAGACGATGATGTTCTTCGGACACACGATGGTAGACTTCGTCTTCTGCACGGGCCTTACCCTGCTTATCGAGATTCCCCTCGGGAAGCTAGAGCACGCGCTGCTGCACTGAGCGCCGAAACTCTGCCGCTCTCAGGGAAATTATGACGTCATTTGCTATGAATATGCCCGTGATGACGTCATTTGCTATGAATATGTCCGTGATGACGTCATTTGCTATGAATATGT